TTACACAACTGCCACGCCCCAAAATGATATCCATTTTCAGGTAATAACACAATCAGGGAGCTGTTGCTCCTTCCAGCACTAATTTACAAGAATTACCTTCTTGAGCAAGCAACCATGCAATAACACTAGTACTGTTGAGGGCTGGGAAAAACGCTTTCACAAATTTAAAACCAAGGTTTGATTTGCAAAGAAATCAGCAATAATGTTTTGGTTTATTTTTAGAATCAATGCTCTTAAATATGCAAAATCGCTGGTTATTTAGAAGTACACAGACAGATTTAAGAGGCTTTTTTAGAATATATTTATTAAACAGATCTGTAATACACTGACAGAAAATAAAATTTCACTATTACTGGGGAGTCAATCATACAACAAGCAATGTGCTCCCTAGCTAAATATACTCAATTCCCACTGTATTGGAGGCTAACCTTATTAAATGGATAGAATGTGAATTAACAGCATCCTCAGAGAGCCTGACAAGTGCTACATTGCTAACATCCTATTGCTGAGACAATTTTGCCGCCACATAACTGCATTGGTCATCGGAATGAGGCACACAAAAATACAAAATTACAAACTCGTTGAAAAGCACACACAGATATACAGTAAGGCCAAAAGAAAACATACAGACACAAGAAAGATGCACACAGGACCTCTCATCTGAGCATGTGGGATTGTCACCTTACTGCCTGACATTCCTGCTTCAGGGTGCCAGCAAGGCCTGCAGTTAGAAGGGCAATGCTGGTGGCAAGGGGGTGGGGGGGAAAGAGATGCGAGGGTGGACAGAGGGCAGAATCAGAAATTTGTCGTGTCACATGGTCAAACAGGGAAGATTTACGACAGATCAGGTTCCTCATCAGCAGCATAGTGTTGTGGCTTTAGAATGACAGGTATGGGGGTGAGATCAGACTCCGGCTTTAGTTTGTACACCCTTTCTGGCAACTGCAGCCAGTGTGACTGGCTCAAGATGGCAGTGTTGCGGATGGTAGGCATGAGTAATGCAACAGTCTTTCCTTGTGCTCGGTTTAACATCGTTCTCAGTGTTTACACGTGAATCTGAAAATGCAGACGTGCCAAATTCATAAAGAGTACATGCAGAGACTGACACAAACTTAGACAAATTAGGTCGAAAAACAACAAGACAAACTTTCAAGAGAAATTCTTGAAAAAAAAATCTCGTGCAAACATGCAAAACAGAGATTAGCAGTTATTTAATCATTTTATGTCTCTCTCTTCCTACTCTCAGAAGCTATGATTTACTCACCGGTGACATCATGGAGACCACAGCTATTTTTATTGGCTGGTAAGCAGCCAGCTCTTTGCCATGCTATGCCACCTGTCCAATCCACAGCAGTCAACAAGCCCCAGGGGGAAAAAAGTCAAGCACCCAAAAATGATTGAGAGATGAAAGGTGGAATATGAGACATGCATGCCATTCTACTGTCCTAGGCATGTTTCACAAGTCAAATGTCTTGTCACTGCTACTGGTTTGTCATCCCTATTTGCATTTGTTCTTCGTTAAGTCTGCTATATTTTCCATTCTTCAACACTTATCTGCATTACTTCATCTCTGGAGTAATGGCTTTTACGCTGCTCTTGGACCATCGCTGACATTGTCTGAGCTGCAAAGATGGGGTTATTCCTGGCCCTGTAACGTGACTTCTTAGGTGCAATTTAGTCACATGCCACATACAGTAGATTGGGGTGGAGGGGGTCACCATTTCACTCAAGTGCCCTGCATGATGTTAACTATTACAAACTAAATATTACAGAGGCTAGAAGCTGGTGACATAAATGACTGTAGATAATACCACATGTTTTGGAAGATTACAGTTTGTTAAAATATATTAAAAGTTGGTCTTGAGATGAAAATGACTCTGGGTCTTTGAATGAGTGGGTGTATTCTTAATTAGTTTATAAAGGATGACTTACAAGCTGAGGCAATATCAATATAGACACATTTGTAATTAGTGTCACTGAGTCTTGCATGGTCAAAATCAAACACATGATAAACACATAAAGAAAAAGTTAACTTCAAGAAAAGGATCTTCTTGTGAAATGCTTTTTATACTCGTATAAGTGAGTAGAGTTCCTTTATAATGGAACTCATGGGCAAATAAGTGGAGGATCATTTGTGATAATTGGATTTCTTGGCCTTGCCACACACACAAAGAAAAAAAAACAACAACTTGATTTTAGTGCCCAAGTTAAATTGAAAATTCAGGATTGTGTCTAGGTGTCCATCTTGTGGCAAGAGCATGAAATAGCAAGTACTAGTGTTGGAGTATTATCCTCTGAAACAACACTAGTGGGTGATAAAGACCTAGAAAACTAAATAGTGTCTGCAAATGATGGACAACTGGATGATTTGGTTTTTGTCAGAGGAAATCAAAGTTTTGGTTTATTTAGGGAAGTTCCAAAGAGTTTCAGCTGTCTTTGCATGCCCCAAAAAATACATTCACACAGTACTCAGTACTCACAAAGTACATTCATTCATTCAGAGGCTCAGCTTACAACCAGGCAAACTAGGCAATCGCTAAGTGCCCAGGGATCTGTGCGTCCCCAAGGACCGACAAACTTTAAAATACAGTAGTAGCAGTATGCAAAGTTTGCAATGACAATAGTGGAGCCACACTTGACTCCACTCACTCTGTTCCAAGTAGCCTGTGTGATTCAGATTACCACAAATCAACAAAACAGCAGTGTAGTTTTGTAGCGACGAAAGAAAAACAGCAGTGAGTGCAGCAGATAGCAACAATTACATACAGTCCCGATCCAAAGTTTAAGATCACATGAAAAATGGCAAAATGGCATTGTGTACTGTAGCGTTGTTCAGTTGAAAAACCCAGTCGTTACCACACAGAAAAGGCCCCTCAGTTATGAGGGATGCTCTCTGCAACATCTGGACATAGCCAGCAGCCGTTTGACACCCCTGCACCTCCTGAAGCGCCATTGTTCCACTGAAGGAAAAAGCATCCCAGACCATTATGGCACCCTCTCCACTGTGCCGCGTAGAAAACATCTCAGGTGGGATCTGCAACGTTGGAAACCATCAAGGTTAAATTTTTCTCATCAGAGAATAAAACTTTCTTCCGCTTTCAATGTCACATGTTTGGTGTTCTCTTGCAAAGTCCAAACAGTCAGTTTTGTGGCTTTCAAGGAGATGAGCCCTTTGAAGACATTTTTTTGTTTTTGAAGCTCTTCAGTCTCTGATGTCTGATGGTTATGGAGCTGCAGTCGGCACTAGTAACTACGGAGCCCCGCAGGGGACATGGGAGAAAAAAAAATTAAGACGGACTTTTGCGAGATCTCGCAAAACCAACTCGGGATCTCGCAAAAGTTTTGCGAGATCTCGCAAAACTTTTAGCTGCATTCTTCGGACGCCGGCTCGAAGCCGACCGGGATCAAGGCACGATGTGCCGGGAAAGCGGTGTTCCTCCCGGCTGTAGTAGGTCTCGAGCTAACGGGAAGAATGCGGCTAAAACTTTTGCGAGATCTCGCAAAACTTTTGCGAGATCCCGAGTTTGTTTTGCGAGATCCCGAGTTTGTTTTGAAAGATCTCGCAAAAGTTTTGCGAGATCCCGAGTTTGTTTTGCGAGATCTCGCAAAACTATTGTTTTTGGGGGTCTTCCACTTGACGTTTTTGTTCCATAACTCTCAGGATCATTTAAGAAATTCCAAATGTCTTACTGCATCCCACCTCAGCAGCAATGGCGCACGGCGAGAGATCCTGTTTATGCAGTTCAACAACCCAACCAAAAAGGGAGATGTTTTTTTTGCCTTTGCCATCAGAAAGTCATGACAGGGTGACTATCTGACAGAAAATGACAATGAATCCACATTTTTTGCACAGATTTAGCCTTTAAAGGCATGTGGTCTTAAACTTTTGATCAGCTGTAAAACAGCCTGTTTCAGTTTAAGCGCTGTTTTCAATAAACTGCGTGCTAAAAAAACATGTTTTTTCTCTCTTTTTTCACTCCCATTTCTTCTTGTTGCAAGTTGAAGCTCTACTTGGAACCTTTTTATAAGATCCAATCAAGTAAAATGTGATTTTTTGCCATTTTTTAAGTGGTCTTAAATTTTTGATTGGTACTGTACAATATTAAATAACTAAACTGCTGCCAGATTAGCCTTAACTTTTGGGTGAGAAATACTTGCTACCCACTAACGTCACAGTATTTATTTTAGTCTCTTTGACATTTAATATTATTTAGCTAAGCTAGCAGAGCAGCCAAGGGTGTCCAGCTGTGGTGGCTGTGACAGTGAGTGTGAAATTTCTTTTAATGATGTCAGATTTTTTTAAACCATAATTTTAATGAATGGTGGTTGAAGGGGCCACCTGTGAATTTTTGCCTAAGGCCACTATAGACTCTAGAATCGGCACTGCATACATTCATACCTCCAACCTGTACAATCACAGACTTCACAAGCTTGTAGCTCACACAGCAGCTCCCCTGGGGCAGGCTGGGGGCTTCTCTGAAGAAACACGTAATTTTGCAACCTACAACATTCACTCTGGGGCAACCTTCTGCTCTACTGATTTGGAAAGCAGTGCAAAAACAGCATGAAAATGATTTAAAGGTGCAACTGTTTCAGCAGTGAATTTTGAAAATAAATTCCTGGGTAAGTAACAGTTATATAACAGATTAGTTTTTAGGATTTTTAGATTAGAAATCCTGATTTCCTGATGTGGTTTTGTTTATCAGAATCAGAATCAGAGAGACTTGATCAATCCCAGAGGAAAATTGTTGTCATAGCACCACACATTCAGCAACCATCAAGCACATATATATGAAACATAAATAACATATTTATGTTATATTGTATATTGTTATGTTGTATTCTACATCCTACAGTGGTTTTATAAGAAATTTATATCTCAAATATCTTTCAGATGTTGATGTTTTATAATGAAAATAATAGCCTCTAACATCACCCTGGCTCCTCCACACCAATGGGGGGCGCACGTTTTTTGTAAATAAATACCATCGTGGGTTGACGAGGGCCGCCCAGCCATGTTGAGGAGTCTGTCAAGCAAACTGCAGCCCGCCATTGTGTAGAACCAGGCTCTGTAGAGAGATAAGGGTGCTTGGCTGAAACGCTTCAATAGCTTGATAATTATTTTACCCTGCCGCTTTTATTTAGGAGTAAATACAGTTACACAGGCTCCGGGGGGGAAAAGACATGTCAGCCAGCAGTCTTCTTGAACAGGTAAAGAGAGGTATTTTCTGAACATTTACGGGGGCCAAATTTCTCAGCATCGCGACGGGCTAGCGAGGATAGCTTAGCTCAGAGGCAGCGGCTCCGTAGTGCAGTAGGCCTGACCACCTGCTAAAGGAACTGACTGCTGAAAATATATCTCTTCATCTATTTTTTCCCCTTCCTCTCTTCTCATAAATCAAACCTTCATGAATCACCTGGACCCAATCCAGAGACCGAAAGGCCAAGCTAATAAAGGTGAGACCAAATATTATCTAACATTGTTGACTTGGGTTTGAGAGAGTGCGAATCTTTTTATGTACCTTTCGCTTTAGAAAATCTTGCGTGCGCGAACGCGATAGCTGGCTTCCTAGCTGCTCGGGTAGAATGGGCCTCTGTGTACACGATTTAAAGGTTTTCATATAATTTATCACTTGAGTGAAACGCCTAATGATACTGTGTTTCAGGTTGGGATTTTTCAGGCTTTAAACAAAGCAATTTTGAGTGTCCTTTACATCCCAGAAATCACACAGGTTCCCACAGGTAGCTTCAGGCTAGCTGTCTCCAGAGTGGCTAACTTTAAATGGCAACATGATACACATGAGCATCCTTTTCCTGGTTCTACTTTTAATGCCTTTTATCACCCATAGTTGCGTGGAAAACACCTTACTGCTCAGTGTCTTTAATTATCAGACATTATGAAATTTCTTTTGCAATATTAGGGCTACAGGTGCCACCCTATAGCACGCTGGCGACCTGGCTAATGTTAGCCAACTCCGTCAAGTTGAAAGGACTCTTGGCGCTCGTTAACATGGAGACGCTAGCGTGCTAATGTTAGCTGGTTGCTAGGTTAACCAAAATGACACGTCTTCCGACATGCTTTTCCTGTGTCAGAAAGGCCCTCGCGCTTTCCCATCATTATGCTGTCAGTCTATAATGTTGAATAAACACATTGAACAAATAATTTTTATTTTAATTCTGTCCCTTTCTCCGAAAAGCTCCGACAATCTCGTGTTTTCCAGCACATGAACATCACCTGTAACAGAGAGCGCTCTTTAACTCGCGGGGGCGGGGGGGGGGGCTCGCTCACACGCACTACTCATCTACCTGCATTTTAACATGCATTTTTTTTTCTCTCGAAGTGATGTCAGTATTGGTTTTATCTATTATTTTAATGTGTCTATTGCTGTGGGAATCTAAATGTCTTTAGTGCTCTTTTATGCCAGTATTTGACTACTTCCAAGTCCATTTAATTTTTCCTGGGCCTGATTCAAATAATTGAGCATACTATGTAATCTGAAGCATACTGAGCAATTATTGCTTTTTTTTCCCCCCTTGTTCTAATTTCAGGGAGTGGTTTTGTTATGTAACGAGTGGCGTTGGTGCTGATGTTAATTGCCTGATAATGTCTAACCCATTGCACCTCTGGGGTTGCACAGGCCTGTTAACACAAATATTGTTTCATTTACAGTGCAAAACGGAGCTGTGACCCAAAAGGATACTTTGAATGACGATGAATTTGAGCCTTACCTGAATACTCAGGCCAGACAGGTAAATGTTTTCCCAGTGTGTGAGGTTTTGTTTTGTTTTTTGTTTTTTTTGTTTGTTTTTTTTAAATCTGAATCGTTCCCTCTTTTTTTTTGTTTTTTTTTTTTTTGTAAGTAGTCTGTTACTGGCTTATCCTTAAATGTTCTTAGTTGAACACGAATCTTTTTTGTTTTATTGCACTAAAATTCAGATAAATCTGATAAGGGTTAACTGAAATTCTGGTTTAAGGAAGTTAAAATGGTTATGTAGAGATCAGCTGATATTCTCTAGCTTGCATCCACGACAAGTTTCATGACCGTGCATATATGAATAAATAAATCCTAGTTACTGTAATCTTAGCACATCTGTTAAACCCAATTTCAGCCATATTAGTAATTGTAAGTGAAACTATAAAAAAAGGTTTACTTTGCACATTTTTGTGTTTTGATTACGAAGAATATTAATGTGCATCTCTTTATTCACCTTTTTTATTGCTTTAATTTTTGTTAAATGTGGTTGTTCCCTGTGCAGTAACTAACACACGTACACATGCACTGTGAAGTGGGCTGTAGAGGAAAATAATAGAGCCTGTCTTTTGGTCCACTCAGAAGAATAGCTGTCCTTATCTTCTTCCAAGACACTCTAAATGGTGGTGGGGGAACAGTTCATTGTTTAGTTCTGTTTATTTATAGATGAGTTTAAAGGAGGAATAGTGAGAGGATTGTTTACATTGTTGTCACAATCCGTGGTGAGCAGTGACAGTTCAATTACTTTACTTATTTTTACTGTGGTTTCACTCCCTGGATGAAGAACAAGTTGCGCTCATGTTAAGAGGAGTGTTCAGCTGTTAATGTTACAAAATATGTTGCTTTAATAATTAAATGCTAGGGTGCTTTTCCACAATTTTTTTTAAATTTATTTTTATTTATTTATTTTTCCCCATGTTGTCACTAAATCACATTTTTCTATTCCATTTAGAGCAATGCCTATACGGCCATGTCGGACTCGTACATGCCCAGCTACTACAGCCCCTCCATAGGATTTTCCTACTCCCTGAATGAGGCAGCATGGTCCACAGGTGGGGATCCTCCTATGCCTTACCTGGCCTCCTATGGACAGCTGAGCAATGGGGAACCCCACTACCTCCCGGACGCTATGTTTGGCCAACCAGGCCCCCTGGGGAGCAACCCATTTCTAGGTCAGCATGGCTTCAACTTTTTCCCCAGTGGCATCGACTTCTCAGCATGGGGTAACAACAGCTCTCAGGGACAGTCGGGGACACCGCAGAGCTCTGGCTACAGCAGCAGCTACGCCTATGCTCCCAGCTCACTTGGAGGTGCCATGATTGATGGACAGTCCCCATTTGCACCTGCTGCCAACGAGCCCCTTAACAAGGCACCTGGTATGAACAGCCTGGACCAGGGCATGGCGGGACTTAAGATAGGTGGTGCTGCTCCTGGTGGTACCGGGGACTTGGCGCCTAAGGTAGTTGGCTCTGGATTACCCGGTGGGGGTCCACTAGGCCCTGTATCATCTGTTGGACCTCCCAGCATGCCTCCTGTCTCAATTGCCCCTGCCAAGCCTGCCTCTTGGGCTGATATTGCCAGCAAACCAGCCAAACCCCAGCCCAAGCTTAAAACTAAGGGTGGCATGGCTGGTGCTAATTTGCCTCCTCCGCCCATTAAACACAACATGGACATTGGCACTTGGGACAACAAGGGCACAATGCCTAAAGCCACCACTCCTCAGCAGGTGCCCCCTATTCCCAGCAACGGGCAGCCGCCCAATCAGGCTTCCCCGCAGCCTGGAAGTACTGCTGTGGGGAATCCACAAATGCCCCTGAGCAATGGACAACTGGTTCCACCTGTTTCCCAGATGGGTCAGCATCAGCTTCCACCCACTGGGCAGCCAGGTATGGGTCAGATGCCCCAGCCTCCTATCTCCCAGGGTGGTCCTCCTCCACCAAGCCAACAGCAACAACAATCTCAACCTACCCGCTGGGTCCCACCACGGAATAGGGCCAATGGATTTGGGGATACGAGTGGGAGTGGTACAGGCCAGTCACCTCCCTCTTCTTCAGGAGTGGGTGTGGTTCCAGGGGTCCCTTCGGAGCCTCACCCAGTTTTAGAGAAGTTGCGTATGGTCAACAACTATAACCCGAAGGACTTTGACTGGAATCCCAAGCAGGGCAGGGTGTTTATCATCAAGAGCTACTCCGAGGATGACATCCACCGCTCCATCAAGTATAACATCTGGTGCAGCACGGAGCATGGCAACAAGAGGCTTGATGCAGCTTACCGTTCACTGGGTGGTAAAGGACCACTTTATCTTCTGTTCAGTGTCAATGGGAGCGGTCACTTCTGTGGTGTAGCAGAAATGCGCTCACCCGTGGACTACAACACGTCTGCTGGCGTGTGGTCGCAGGACAAGTGGAAGGGTCGTTTTGATGTGCGCTGGATCTTTGTTAAGGACGTTCCCAACAGTCAACTGAGGCACATTCGACTGGAGAACAACGAAAATAAGCCAGTGACCAACTCTCGGGACACACAGGAGGTGCCACTGGACAAGGCCAGGCAGGTGCTAAAGATCATCGCTGGATATAAACACACCACTTCCATCTTCGATGACTTTTCTCACTACGAGAAGCGTCAGGAAGAAGAAGAGTGTGTGAAAAAGGTAACAAAGTCACTGTTGAATAAAGTGAATGACAAAACAAATGAATGAAAAACAAGTGTGATCTTCAAAAAAGGTGGAGTGTTTGAAGCCTGTGTATGTGTGTTTGTACAACATTGATGTTATGCATTACAAAGAAACGGTACAATACAACCCTTTACAGATGGGCTGAGAGCTGAGTTTCATGTGCTTATATGGATTAGAACAATTTGTCATCTTTTTTTCCTTTAGCTTTTATGTTCTACCTGTTAACAGTCACATGTAATGTTCTACTTTAAGAGTGGACAGCAAGAGAAAACATTTACAAAGATAAAATGGATAACATGCATGGTGTTTAGTTGTGTAATTATAGCAACTTTATCAGTGTTATCTTGTTCACAGCTGAAGCTGCTGTGCTGCTAAAACTATGAGAGATGTGGTCCCCTTTACTGCTTTATGATATTGATAATCTCTTTAGCTTATTTGAGCATGAAGGTAGCGGCGCAAAAATGGAAAAATGTCAAACCGAAAAGGGAAATTTGTTAAGTTTATACTGGGATCGTTCAATGGTTTGTTTTTGTTTTTTTTCTAGGGTTTCTTTCTTTTTCAAGCAAGCGGTGTGTTTTGTTTTGTTTTTCCTTTCGTGTTTTACTCTTCTTTTTTCTTTTTTGACTACAGACACATTGATCAGTTACTTAGTCTTGATGCTAAAATAGAGACCTTGTCTTTAGTCAGTTACTAAATCCAATACCTGCGTTACTTTAATAAGCTCTGTTACGAAGAGCACCAGATATGACATAACATTGCTTTTCTAGCTAACTGAAATGAAAAGTAAAATATGTATCGATTAAAATTTACTTAGTTGTCCGTTATTGGAAGGATAAATGTCAATGGGACCTCTGCCCTCTCCCACTAAAACTCAAAAGGGGGTCAAATAAAAAGGTGGGGTGGAGGGAAGTGAGTGCTTAAAGTATTTGTATGCTTTCATGTCCGTCAGATGAGACATGTGTTTTGTCATTTTTAATCGTAATTATTTTGCCTCCCCTGTTAGTTTCTCTCTTCCCATGAGCCCATCCTCACACATGGAGTTGAGAAAACGGGTGAAGGAAAATGTTACTCACTTTGGGTACAACTCATGCCACTTTCCTATTGTCAACTCATTTGACCAGTGTCAGCTGGATCACAGCTAAGCCACAGACTGGTGCAAGCACACAAAACTTGTTGGTGTAGTAAGCAAGAAATGACTCCATACTGCCAGCCCTTATTTCATCTTAATTGTGCGTTTCCTCTTTGGCAAATGGATTACATCCAAAATATGGGCGTATCAAGGTGGACAGTATTTAAATTTACATAAGCATACTCTGTATTTGAAATTACACCCACCCGTCTCCAAATGCTTGTTGATTTTCTATTTGTTGGGCAAATCTAGGGACAGTTGTTTTATTCAGTGTCATCTTTAAGTTTGCCTTCAATGAACTATACTGAACCCCAAGTGTGTGTGACACAAGGGTGGGGATTGTTGCTTTTGGGATTCTCCATCAGTTGGCTGGTGAGTGGATTATTCAGACAGAGCATATCAGAAGAATAATGAATGGCGAAAAGGCAAGCGGATACTGGTAACAAAGATCCACAATGCTTAACATCTGTCATCATTGTTGGGCCACAAAGCACCCACGTAGCAGTGTTGAGCTGGAACCTAATTTAAATTAGCCTCTTAATTATTTTTTTAATGGTGTGCACTGGCATTATATAGATGCATCTATTGACATGATTTTGCATTTTATTTTTCAGAACTGCTGTGATTGGAAAAACATGTGTAGCTTGCTAAAAACCCAAATGCGCTGCCTGGAGGTTACCACTTAGTCTCTATGAGCTTGGATAGATTTAAATAGAACTAAAATAACAAGAGGGGGGGAAAAAAGCAAAAACGTATATTTTTCATGAATATCTTTGTCTACACAATGTTTATGCTCAAAATACGTAAGCTCGACTATTGGTGGAGGTGAATTTGCAGTATGTAGTTTAAATTAAATTTTATTGGGTATTTTGGCTTTCTCCTTCCTCGCTTGATGGCAAGACATCTGTTCAAAAATGAATTGAGAGCATAACTGCTCTTTTGTGGTCTCTGTAAGAAAGGGAAAACCTTTTAAATTTTATCCCAGGTGTTCGAAGTCTTAAAAACAGCATTTTAACCTGTGGTGATTTGTTCATTGTGAGTTATGTTTACACCCAGACTTGAAACTAACTGAGCCACTTAATTAAGGACAGTAAACCTGAATTAATTGCTTACTGAAAAATAAAAAATGATAAATGCACATTTGAAGAAGATTCATCTAGGGTACATTGTCTTATATATGTCAGTTTGAGATGGACAACATTTGGTTTTATCTATTTTAATATCTGTTATCTGTATATAGAGTTATTGATATTTAGCTGTTGAGCTAGGCCACTCAGAATCTGCTCTGTTTCTAAGTAATCCTTTGGGCCAAATTACTGAATGATCTTACTACAAAGACCTGGCTCTTTCAATCTGAAGTGCTTCAGTTGTGCTCAGTTTTTGCTTCTTTTGTGACAGGTGGAGGTCCAAGGCAGTGAGCCATATCCCAGCAACCCAAACAACAGAAGTCATTACAGGCTTCAGGTAACTGTATTCTGAAGAAATTTAGCCTGTTTTCATACTTTGAGTCTGTGCCACTTGGATATTTTTCACATAATTACGTAGTTGATATTTTGGTACCTGTAACGCTGCTAAGTTATCGAGCTTTTCCTCCTTAAAACCCACAGCTGTTTAGGTTGTCGTTTGCAAACAAGAGTCGTGGTTTTATGAAACTATTAAAATGTGTATTAAGTGGATGCCCACATTTAACAAGAGAAACTGGAAGGATCTATTGCAATGTGCCTATATTTTGTATGATGTAATTTCTGCTTTGTGTGTAACACGCTGTCCTTTCATGTTTTAGGAGCGCCAAGGACGAGTCAAGTAACAGTTGGTGCTTTGGTCAAAGACTGCAATGGCCCCCTTAAAGCCCTCTACCCCATTACGTCATTACATCCAGATCTCTTAAAGAAATTCTAATAGGGGTGAAGAATTAACAAAGGACAGAAACTAAATGAAGACTTTGATTTCTTTTGACTTTAAAGACTTACTTTGAACTTGTAGTAAAAAGAAAAGGAAACAATTATTCATAGGACTACAACTAAATGCATAGCATCCTTAGGTGAATTTTTTTTTTTGCCCTCCCCCATTCCACTACATATGCTTTCTCCCCTTGTATGCTGCTTTTTTTCCTTTTTGAAATGAATGGATCAGCTTGTTGTTGTTTTTTTGTTTTTTTTTTTTTTTTTTTTTTTTTTAAATGGTCCAAGAGCAGGTCTGTAATTCTCACACAAACACACAAATCAAATAGAAATTGTAGTGTTGACTAATAATAGTGTCCCAAAGTGGAAAAATGGGCTGTTCGTCTCATTTTCTTTGTAACCCCACCCCCACCCCAATCTGTCTTTTGAGGATGCTCAAATGTTCAACCGGGACCCAGCAGAGTTTCCTCCTTGGTGGATTTTCATCGTAGGCGTATGCCAGCTACACTCACTCCAGAATCTCTCTACACGCTTGCCATGTTTTTGTTTGAGAGGACTGCAAATGTTCAGAAGGCCCTTCATTTTGTTTTCCCAGTGTGTTGGATGGAGTGTGTGGGGTGGTAGGGTAGGGAGGATCTAGAAGGGGATGGAAGAGGTTTAAGAGTTCGAAAGTAAAAGAAATGTTAAGTTGATAAAACCTTGCCCACTGTATAATTTTTAAGGTCTTAAAAAAAGGGGCCCTCTGACAGTCTTTGGACCTAATTTACCCCCCCCCCCTTTTTTTTTTTTTCCTTCTTTCTATTGGACAAGTTGATTCGTTGTTGCTATGGGCTGCTTTTTTTTTTGTTTTGTTTTTTTGTTTTTTTTGTTTCTCTCCTTCCTCCGTTTTCTAAAGACAGTGATGCGAGTGGTCTTGACCCACTCTTTCTATTAATCAGTTCAAAAGTAATAAATGTGGTATATTAAGCAGAACGGTGTGCATTCCCCTTGTTTGGAAAGCAGTTTTGTCATGCAGCATGTCTGTGTGGGTTTTCTTTTTTTCTTTTTTTCTTTTTTCTTTTTTTGTTGATTATTTTCCCCTCCCCCCTCTCATATGGGTATCTGAATGTTTCTTCCTGCCATTCTTCATCCTCCAACACCCCCCACCCCCCCACTGTGCTGCCCTGCATTTCTTACCTCTACTTTCCAAACCCGCCTTTGTGCTACACACTCCCGGATTCCCGTTTCTGCTCAGCCAACCATACATACTATATCACAATCAGCTTCGACCATTTTCAGAATGTCATTGTTGGTGAGTAAAAAGCGCAAGGTCCTCTTTCAGAACTACTGGCTTTTATTTGTGGCATAATAAAGATGCTCCACGAAGTCATGTGTGGTTTCTCATTGGGCTTTGCTTCCCCCCCCCCCCTTTAGTACCTAGGTTGTTTATACAGACTTGTCTGTGTGCATTGTCTTTGTGCTGATAGCAGGCAGGAATGCCATTTGGGATGCACAGTAAGATTGTTTTTAGTGTTTTGTTTCATCTGTCACTGGGCCAGACACCACTTGTATGGTCTACTGGCATAAAAGACTGCAGGTGTACAGTGCGCAACACATGATTTGCAGCTCATTGTAAAATGAGCCTGATCATCTTTAGTTTCTGATTCTACGCACTCAAAGGGAGCAAAGAACCGGAAAAACTGGTTCCTCTTACCTTTTGATATGGCGGAAGTAGAGTGAGGAAATGTGATGTACAGCTGTTTAATGCACAGTCCGCCATTTTCTCACCTTTGCTGCTTGCACTGAACATAGCAGACACAAGAGGGCGACACAGGACTATTTACTGACGCTTCAACATGATCAAGGACGAGGATTTTCAGCCTGGGCTCGATGGCGTTCCGAAACTGGCCTCAGCATCAAGGGCCTGCTGCGACTTTATTTGCTCTGAGATTCGTTGGTTTTATTCTTCCTGGCATTTTTTTTTTTTTTTTTTTTAAATTCCTCCAAAAGTTACTGATAATAGAAATGGCACGTGCTCTTTAACCCTCATATTTTGTTTTTGTGAGACCTTAAACGCTGCCAACAGCTGGATAAAGATATGTAGTCTACAAAATTTCAAATGTATCTTTAAAATTGAAAAGCTGGTAGACAAAATTAAACAATTTAGCCTATTTCTGCACAGATAATGTAAACACTACAAAAGAAAGTCGTCGGTTTTTAATGCAAAACGCGTCCAAAGAGCCGTTCAATGTTTTTAGAGCTTATGCGGCTTTACATCAGTCTTGCAAACACTGAAAATGTGGTATGCTGTAATTGCGAAACACTATTACTACTTCTTTATTTGCAGCCATACACGTTACATTCATAACTGACTTAACATAGATTCCATAGTCTGTCAAAAGAATATACCTCATAACGCTTTTATTTAAAGGAAGGGGTCGTTGCTTCAGTTCAAGTCCTCTTTCTTGCACACTGCCTGGAAAGCTGTAAGGACCTGCTGGTGTTGGACAACATAACTACAATGTGCTCAGTGATGGGCTTAAAAATAATATATATATTATTAAAGTACACAATGTAACAGAGAGAGGCCTGAGAGGAAAATATGAGGCGACACAGGCAAGCATCCATTTGCTCTTTGGGATGAAAGTGCGGGGTCTGTGTAAAAGAACTGTGTGTACAAAGATAGAAGTAGCCTGCGAGGATCTGTGTGTGTTTGCGTGTGTGAGTGTCGAGAGGGAGGTCGACGGCACGTGTCGTGTCTGCGTGGAGGGTGCGTGGCAAACATGCTGCCTCGAGGGGATCTCCCGTGACCCTTATCTGCGCGTCTCTGGGGACGCCTTTTAGCCCCTCCTGGGATGCAAATGAGCGGCCATAAAACAGAGGCAGATACTGCTACAGAGCCGGTGGTGGAGGAGAAGAAAGGGAAATGGGACCAGGGGGAGAATGGAGGAGGAGGAGGGGGGTCACCACTCACATCTCAGCGCGCGCATGAACCTAAATGCATGAAGGAGGTGGAGGCGAATATATATATATTTTTTTCTTCTTTTTTTTAAAACCCCAATATAGATATGATGGCTGCGTGTGTTGGTGGAGGACTTCTTGTGTTTTTCCATGTGTAGAATTCGACATATTGACTGAATTCACAAGAGGCACTTGAATTATCAGTTAAAGTCCCTTTCCTGACTTCTGTGATTCGGAAAAAAATTTAGCTGTTAATACAGCAGCACCACAAACAATCCAGTGGATCTGTCAGCTGATTAAAGAAATGGTCTGATGTAGGCCTGTGGCGGGTTATTTATTTCATATTTCAAACATTAGTCCCTGCAAATTTTTCACACAGGGGAAAAAAAGATTATTAAATATTTTCTGTTGGGAAGTATTGTTTAGAGAGAGCTACTTGAATGCGTTGTGTCGGTGGGTTCATATTGCGCTACAAGGTCATGGATCTGCTTTATTTTCCCCTCATTATCATAAGGCATCCATCTCTTTCTCCCATTAGTGACGCTTCACCATGTCGCCAAACCGACCTCTATTTACATGACTAAATTAGATTTCGTGCATTTTGTTTCAGAAAGCCTGCCCATAGCTAAAAGTAAAAAATAGAAGCAGTCCTGAAAGAATAAGGCACTTAATATAACTAATATGTATATGGACTGATATTTTTCTAATAGAAAAGAATAATACATGCATACACTCTGTCATCTTGGACCTCACTGGCTGCAATTTCAGTCACTTTATTATATTTTGCATCTAAT